AGGACTGTCGTCAGCCAATCAGATTTGCATGATTTTACACATGCTTCATGCAACAGGTTCCATGGGATTCGTCTCCAATAGTGTCAGCACATGATGCAACCTCAAGTCAACAAGAAACCCTGTAAATCTGCCTTTTTAAAAAGCAATCGCTTATACACCCCACCTTAAGTAGCTAATAAATGAATTTTGTTGTAAACACAGTAATTTTTATCGGATCATTTTAATGATGGGTGCTTTTATACTACTGTGGCCTCCTCCCAGCACTACACGGAAAACAATTGCACTTGTGTATTAGGCTACCCTCTCTGTATGTGTGTTGATAAGGTGAAATAATGCCTACTTAAATCACCTTTTTTAAACAAAACAACAACTGCATTCAAAATTCAATCTATAATACTTAAGGTGAGCTAAAGATGGTAGCTGCTCCACCCCTATACACACCTGTCGCCCCTGATTAACTGTGAAGGAGATCATACTTTACGTACCATCAGCGATCATCAGCAGAACTGACATCCAAACACAGTTCGGTGGATGCATCTTCAAAAATGCGAAATTACACAAAACGATCATATCTGCTGGCTAAAATGATCGCAGTTATTATTGCTGACGGACGCTGCTGTTCGGGAGATGCGGCAGACTGAACGCTTCCTTTCACTTTCATTTTTACTTTCACTAAATATATTGTCTCAGGTGCGGGGTCGAGTCCTAATCTAATGGACTATAATCATATAAGCAGTAGGCCTACAATATGCATCAGCGCAATACCTGTAGTAGGCTAACTATATGATAACACTACTACTCAGTCCGAGGGAAAATAATCAAATTAGACATAATTCAAGGGTGAGAAACTGATTTGGTCTAGCAGCCATGTGTTACTGTATATGTACATTTAACGTTTTGTTTCATACTCTTTTTAACTGCATGGGAGGACACTGTCACAGAAAGCCCTTGGTTTTGTAATAATTTTTATTAGAAGCAATAACATTTAAACAATACCAGACGTGATACTGTAGTGAAGAGAAGGCAGATGTTTATCATTAAATTAATACTCTCAGTTAAAAGAAAAAGTCAGAGTTCTATTGTATACTGTGTTCAAAATTTAAGATTTAAATTTTATACTGAATCATTTCGTTTTTAGAATGTGTGTCATAAAACAATATTACGAACCACTTTAATTTATTTGCATTTATAAAATCTATGTGATGTCTTACATGTACCTGAAGGCCTTATTCCTTGTCTTTGCTTTTGTGTCTTTGTAGAACAAATAATTACAGATAATAATTTAAATAAAAATGCCTGCATATTCATATAAATATGCTGCAAAAAGGAAAATAAGTGAATGACAACTATTCATAACAACATAAAATGTTTAATACAACAAGTATTACAGAAAAATGAACAGTCAACAGCTTATTTAACAGATCTCTCTCCATCAGAAGATAGGCTACGTCTAAACATCAAAGTTTTTTCTGAAATCCAGCTCAGCAGACAGAGGAATTGTGATTTAAAAAATAAGTTTATTCAATGATGCCAGTTGCATCTTTCTTAATGATCTGTCTTCATTTGGTTGGAAAACCTGAGAGCGTATGAACACATGGTTGCCAGATTGGGAAAAATACATATTTGTTTGTACATATGTGTACAAAAAAAATTGTGCAAGTACAACACTGAAGTTTGATCACTGTCAGTTCTCGTTAGAGTTTAAGCAGATGCTCATAGTGTTGGTTAGCAGTTTTTCCTCTTACTGTTGATTATGTTTGTGAATCCACTGAATCTGCCAGAGTTTGCTCTGTCACATCACTCCTGCTAGCCAGGAGAATTTCTAGTTCATGCGATTCTGCTGTCATCTGGTTCTGGTTTGATTCATTGGCTGGAGTTTCATCACATCCTGCTGCATTCTAGGTTTAGAATAAAATGTGTTTTAATCTACTTCTATATTCTCTGGTTGTTTAATACGAAGCAAATAACCTTTATTGTAGGTCACTTAGGCCTATAAAATTTCCATTAAATATCAGCTGATATAATGTGTGAATGGAAGCTTATTTCTGCCACAGAATAAAAACATAAAAAAGGTAACTACAATGTTTTATCTTATAATTTATATATATTTTTTGCACAATTGCAAGTTTATATCTCAAAGTTCAGACTGTATTTTTCAGAATTGCGAGTTTATATCTCAATTACCTTGCAATTACTTAAAAGTCAGAATTGTGATATTAATGATTGTAATTACTTATATTTTTGTTTTTACAACTATATTTCATTGCATGGTGGAAATAAGCTTCCATAGTTTCCTTTATTTAACAAATATGCAATTCTAAAACAAATTGCTCTGTTTTATAGGAACTATTGATTTTCATTTGGAAGGATACAACTTTGCATAATTAACCCTTTGATGCACAAGCTATGAAAACGTCTCAGGTTACTTATGTAACCATGGTTCCCTGAGTAGGGAACGAGACACTGCGTCCTCTAGGGGTCGCTATGGGGAACGTCTCGTCGTGACCCGTGTCTGAAGCATACATTGAAAAAACACCAACTCGTTGGCCGGCGACAGCCATGACGTCACTACCGGTGCGACTATAAGTATAAATTATACTTATTATGTAGCAGAGAGCTACACATCATTCACTTCTTCGTCTGAAGCTTGCGTCCGCAGCATGGCAAGAAACCTAGAGGACGCAGTGTCTCATTCCCTACTCAGGGAACCATGGTTACATAAGTAACCTGAGACGTTCCCTTTCATGGCAACTTCGAACTGCGTCCTCTAGGGGTTGCTATGGGGAACGATATACCCACGCCACCATGCTGAGGGGAGTGCAAGCCAGAACCATGGCGAGCACCAACTCTAAACAGCTAGCAATTATTCAGCTGAGGGAGCAACACACCCAGTTCTCAATCTGAGAAGGGGGCTCGACCTGCAGCATGTTCCAAAGCTGGAACAGCTAGCAATAATTTACTTAGCTGTGGGAGCAACACACCTAGTTCTCAATCCGAGAAGGGCGCTCGACCTACAGCATGTTCCAATGCTGGAACGGCTAGCAGTAGTTTACCTAGGCTGAGGGAGCACAAACCCAGCTCTCCCGAGAGGGGGCTCGACCTGCAGCATGAATGTAAAATCAGAAGGGTAGGCATACTGCAAGCAAGCCAAACACTCAGCGCATTAGGGAGGCAGAGGAAGGGCCTAATCCACCTGATGCTGCTGGTTCCAGGTGCTCTGGAAAAACAGAGAACTCAACTTCTCATGTGAGAGGAGAACTACGAATTCAGAGGATAACATTGCTCATTCCAGGTAACCCTTTGAAAAAAGGGGAGCACTGCTCAAACTACCACGAGGACAGCCCATGGAGCGAGGAATCCAACTCCTCAGAGAGGATTAATGCTCGAAAGAAAACACCATACTCACAATAACCCTCACTGGTGAGGGGAGCGATGCTTCCAGAGTGCGTCGATAGAGACACACTAGTTGAGTGGAGCCCAAGGAACCGGGGTCTAACCAACTCAGAGAAAGGGAACGAGGTCAAAAACGCGTAACCCCTACCATACAGGATTTTAGAAAAGTGGGCAAAGCTTAACATGCTGCACTTATTTTAGAGTTTTCCAAGCATCTGTTTACAGATACCCGGAAGTACTGGGCCAAATGGAAGAGGCAAGCTCAAATACAACCCTCAAAGGTGAGGGGAGCACTGCCCGAGACAGCATTTACACAGGAAGGTTCTCGTAATGCCACCTATGCCTCCCACTCGATGCCTCAGCAAGAGGGGATATCCTGGTGATCGGGAAACCCCTCAGGGCGACCCAGATACGGTAGACCAGTCAGGGTAGCATGAAAGTGTAACCCCAGCCCGGACCTCCAGGAAATTTTTGCAGTGACACGCGGGGGCCTGATGATCAAGAAGGCTCCCGCAGAAGCCTTTGTTATGGCTGCATTATCCAGGAAGTATGAAGCCGAAAACCGGCTTACTTACCGTCTGGACATATATGTACAAAATATTGCACTAAATTAAAAGTTCAAATGTTACAAATAAGTTAGAATATTAATGTTATAATACTGGTAGCACTAATATAAAAATGTGATGATATATGTTACAAAAAAGTAACAATTTTGAAATACGTTTGATGGTTGTGTTTTTTTGTATTTGATCTCAGTATTCCTATCAATGTTGTATAAGGGTTTTTTATGCATATAATGTGATCAAACAGTTTAAAATTAATGAGGTCTTATTGTAAAGTGATGCCTATTGGTCGTTATAGTTCTTTTGCACTTTAATCTGTGTAACATTTTTAACTTTATAAAGTTTTCTGTATAAAAAAAATTGGATTTAAATGTTCAGTTATTTTGTTATAAGAAATATTAAACCTGTTATGCTGTATTATGACAGCACTTTTTAAAACTATATTTCAATACCGTGATAATACCGTATACCGTGATAAAAGCATTAGCAATTAATCGCAACATGAACATTTGATACCAATATATTTATTTGATTTTATATATACGTACAAGTGTATGTATGTATGTATGTATATCTTGTATTTTTGTTTTGAAGGTTTATACTTTCCTCCCCCTGGCAATTGTTTTTTGTTTGCTGTAATTTGTCCTTCTATCTTTTTCTTTTCTTATTTTAATGTTGTTTTATTGTGTGTTATTGCTCCTTGAATAAAAAAAATAATAATAAAAAATAAAATGAAATTTTGATACCGGCATATCTCTACTACAAACACGTTTAGACTGCAGGAAATCCACGGACTGCCTATTCATTCATTTTAGTGTAAATAGCTAAAGACACTGAGCAACAACGGTGTGTATAGCTACTATAAATGTAAAAATGCTAAATACTTGTTTTAAAACAAATATTTAGTGGCATTGTTTTACTCAGGCAACATTTTAGGACTCAATCTTCAGCTGAGGTCCTTTCACGGTCTTGTCAAAGTGAGTTTACCGCTGATCTGAGATCTGCGTTTGTGTTTCTCCTTTAATAGTGGATAAAACCGTTTGATCAGCCAAGCTGATCTGAGACAACCCTAGTATACCATTCTAAACATGGCAGCCTCCGTCAGATATTTACTGAAACCTTGGACACCGAGGTACGTTTGACTAGTTTTATGTAACGTTACTTATTTTTGCCAGGAATGTTCGAAATGAGGTCTAGGTCAGATCAGCTTTGCTGTGTAATTCATCATTTGTATGATTTATCGTTGATTCCTCGCTGTTCATCGCGCAAACTGAACCATGTGCTTAAATGTGTTTCTAAATTCACGCCTCGGCTTGTTCTGATTTCTGTGTAACAAGCATATTTGATAACGTTTGTCTACTAAGTTACTCTGCATCTTTCTCTCAGTCTGTGTTTGGTGAGGTGGAGTCGGTATAATCCATACTATCTGGATCCAGATCCCAGTAAAGATGCTCGTGTCCCAGAATCAGAACTCAGTCCTGAAGATAAAGAGCTGCAAGAACTGAAAACAGTGAGACCGATAAAAGCAGCGCTGGCAAGCGACTCCAGCTCTGCTTTCAATGACCCTCTGATCAGGTAAAGACAAAAAGAGCAAAGCCAACTGCAGGAAACGTTATTATAGCTCCATGACCTGAATAGAAACACAGCGGGGTCCAAAAGTCACATTGAAGATAACAAACTAATGTACGTTACCCCACTGTATATGGATCTTTCATAGCTCTGTTTATCTATTTTACTCCAACAGCAAGTTCATCAACATGATGATGCAAGATGGCAACAAAATCCTTGCTAGAGGAATCATGACACAGGTTTGTATCAAATCCCATTATACAGGTGCATCTCAATAAATTAGCGTGATAATACCGTATACCGTGATAAAAGCATTAGCAATTAATCGCAACATGAACATTTGATACCAATATATTTATTTGATTTTATATATACGTACAAGTGTATGTATGTATGTATGTATATCTTGTATTTTTGTTTTGAAGGTTTATACTTTCCTCCCCCTGGCAATTGTTTTTTGTTTGCTGTAATTTGTCCTTCTATCTTTTTCTTTTCTTATTTTAATGTTGTTTTATTGTGTGTTATTGCTCCTTGAATAAAAAAAATAATAATAAAAAATAAAATGAAATTTTGATACCGGCATATCTCTACTACAAACACGTTTAGACTGCAGGAAATCCACGGACTGCCTATTCATTCATTTTAGTGTAAATAGCTAAAGACACTGAGCAACAACGGTGTGTATAGCTACTATAAATGTAAAAATGCTAAATACTTGTTTTAAAACAAATATTTAGTGGCATTGTTTTACTCAGGCAACATTTTAGGACTCAATCTTCAGCTGAGGTCCTTTCACGGTCTTGTCAAAGTGAGTTTACCGCTGATCTGAGATCTGCGTTTGTGTTTCTCCTTTAATAGTGGATAAAACCGTTTGATCAGCCAAGCTGATCTGAGACAACCCTAGTATACCATTCTAAACATGGCAGCCTCCGTCAGATATTTACTGAAACCTTGGACACCGAGGTACGTTTGACTAGTTTTATGTAACGTTACTTATTTTTGCCAGGAATGTTCGAAATGAGGTCTAGGTCAGATCAGCTTTGCTGTGTAATTCATCATTTGTATGATTTATCGTTGATTCCTCGCTGTTCATCGCGCAAACTGAACCATGTGCTTAAATGTGTTTCTAAATTCACGCCTCGGCTTGTTCTGATTTCTGTGTAACAAGCATATTTGATAACGTTTGTCTACTAAGTTACTCTGCATCTTTCTCTCAGTCTGTGTTTGGTGAGGTGGAGTCGGTATAATCCATACTATCTGGATCCAGATCCCAGTAAAGATGCTCGTGTCCCAGAATCAGAACTCAGTCCTGAAGATAAAGAGCTGCAAGAACTGAAAACAGTGAGACCGATAAAAGCAGCGCTGGCAAGCGACTCCAGCTCTGCTTTCAATGACCCTCTGATCAGGTAAAGACAAAAAGAGCAAAGCCAACTGCAGGAAACGTTATTATAGCTCCATGACCTGAATAGAAACACAGCGGGGTCCAAAAGTCACATTGAAGATAACAAACTAATGTACGTTACCCCACTGTATATGGATCTTTCATAGCTCTGTTTATCTATTTTACTCCTTGAGTACATGTACAGTAAATGAACATACTTTCCAGAAGGCCAGAAAGTTTTTTTTATTGGTCTTATGAAGTATTCTAATTTGTTGAGATAGTGAATTGGTGGGTTTTTGTTAAATGTGAGCCAAAATCATCACAATTAAAAGAACCAAAGACTTAAACTACTTCAGTCTGTGTGCATTGAATTTAATACACGAGTTTCACAATTTGAGTTGAATTACTGAAATAAATGAACTTTTCCACGACATTCTAATTTATTGAGATGCACCTGTATACACACTAGTGGTCAAATGTTTGGAATAATTACAGTTTTTAATGTTTTTTTAAACTAGTATTTTCTGCTCATCAAGGCTGCATTTATTTGACCAAATATGCAGTAAAAACTGTAGAAAAATTGTGAAGTATTTTGACCATTTAAAATAACCTTTCTGTTTAAATACATTTTAAAATATGTATTCCTTTGACAGTAAAGCTGAATTTTCAGCTTCATTACTACAGTCGCTCGCCAATGTCACTTGGTCCTTCAGGAACCGTTTTAGTATGCTGATTTGCTGCTAATGAAACATGTCTTATCAATGTTGAAAACAGATGTGCTGCTACATATTTTTGTGGAAACTGATACATTACCGTTCAAAAGTTTGGGGTAAGCCAGACTTTTTAAAAACAACAAAAACAAAAAAATGTATAATGTTACGAAAGATTTCTGGATCAAATAAATGCTTTCTATTCATCAAAAAACTATGTATGATAACATTTTAAACCAGCAAATCACTTAATAATAATAATAATAATATGAACCATTAGTGATAATTGAGCACAATAATAATTAATACTTGAGCAAATCAGCATGATTTCTGAAGGATCATATGACACTGGAGTAATAATTATGAAAATTCAGCTTTGCGTCACAGGAATAAATTACATTTTACAATATTTAAATTGTTATAATGTCACAATATTCCTGTTTTTCTGTGTATTTTTAATAAATAACTTTAAAAAACGCAGCCTTGTGAGCATAAGGGACATCTTTCAAAAATATTACAAAATTGTTTATGCTTGAATGTTTTGTGTCCGTTTAGACGCTGGAGACCATAAAGAGAAAGCAGGTGGAGAAATACCACAAATCTCCAGCAGCTAAGAGAGAAGCGATCGAGTGTAATCCATACACCGTCTTCCATCAGGCACTAGAGAACTGCAAACCCATCATTGGCCTGGCCAGTGTACAGAAAGGAGGCAAGTCTTATCAGGTCAGTGAACAACATTTTATATTAATTTCACAACTCTTGAGAAAACCTAGTCAGAGGTTTGTAGATATGCAACTCAGAATCAGTGTTCAATCAATGGGTTTGCAAACGGCCAACACTGATAGAAGTATCTCAAGAGAAATGACTGAAAGTCAATATGATCATTTTTATGTAAGAAAATACAATTTAAAAATGTCAACTAAGATGTTGTGAGGAATTAAATGTACACATATTTTGGACAATATTTATGTTTAACATTTTATAAAATGGTATCCTTTTACCCAGAGTGATGTTTATAGGGATAATTCATTCAAAAAGTGAAAATGATCATCATTTATCACCATCACCATAAATATTATCATCATAAACACCATGTTGTTTCAAACCTGTATGACTTTCTTCTTTAAAACACAAAATCAGCATGGTCAAGTACTGCTATAAAGTAGATCAAATATTGAATCTTACTCTGAATTATTGTTCCTGCAGGTGCCCGTCCCTCTCACGGATAATCGGCGGCGTTTTCTGGCCATGAAATGGATTATCACAGAATGCAGAGACAACAAGCACCGTCGCACACACATGTATGAGAAACTCTCGCAGGAGCTGCTGGCCGCCTTCGCTAACGAGGGAAATGTAGTGAAACGCAAACACGACCTTCACAAGATGGCCGAAGCCAACAGGGCATATGCACACTACCGCTGGTGGTAGAGAGAGGACGTTTGGACTCCTAGTTCACCCACAGACGTGATTTGTTTTGGACTGACAGCATCAGGAGTTTGGGATGGATGGGCATCACAAAAAAGGACATGAGAAAGTCTGTTATCTTGACTCATAAAGTTTGTTTTTGTGTGAAAGTAAATAAAGCTATGAAAAGTCACATTTCCATTTATGTCAAGGAATTTTTTACGAGTTGAACAGTGTTACAAAAATCTACAAAACATTTTTAGATTAGATTTCAACTGTAATCTTGTACTCTCAAATAATTGTTTCTTTATTTGAAACTTGTGGCATCAAGACAACTATACAAGTCACGGTCTACTCTGCAAGAGCCCGAGGAATCAGTGAGGCCAAAACAGCTGCACAGGAGCTTCATTTTTTACTTTCAAATACAACATTTTGGCATATCGCCTGACTTCATGTTTACATTTCAGTCCAGTGGATCTTCATCAGATTGAAATGATACAAAATAAGAATAAAATATTATCGTAGCCGTGCAAATTTATGCAAAGCTTGTGACACTCTCTCTCTTCATCCAGCACCTGTAGAAGTTTTGTTGGATATACAGCCACTCTTCTTTTCGTAGTATAAAAATATTAGCCTTAAGGAAACATTATATTTAAATGTGACTCTTATAAACTGTTTTTGGTTCATTAAAACCATAGATTTTCTAACAGATTTGTAATTGAAGTAATTCTTTCTATACAATAGAAATAGCTGTTCTTTCTACCGAGGCAATTATAACGTGCTAGTCAATTTAAGAAAATAAAACAAGTAACAATTTATTAAATATATCCATCTCTATTAAATAAAACCATCTAATCGTCTCTAGTGTTCTGATTACAGCCCTTGACACTAATATAAGACCTAAATCAAATGAAACCAGGAATGTGTATTAAAGTAAATATGATGAACTTCATGTCACTTCAAGTCGACTTCAAAAAGTCACAATCCAATCTTCTACTTCATGTCAAACCTCATACCTAGTGAATCACCAAGCCTTCATCAAAGGTAAATATAAAAGTAAAACCTCCACACTTGGCTCCTACGGATTGCTATTTCATCCTGCCTTCTTGTTTCTCTGATTGGTGGAGGCCTCAGTCCGTCACTTCGCTGTAGTAGTATTTCTGAGCCGTTTCGCTGAGAGTCCAGCCTCCTGCGCGAAACTCAAGGATCTCCAGCAGGAGCAGGTGGCCCATGGAGCTCAGGTCCTCCTGCAGGAGAAATCCATCCCTCAGGAGATTGAACAGCTCATCCATGAGCTGCAGGTTCATCTTCTCCAGCTGATCTCCAATACGATGCAACTGTAACACCAGACAGTCCACCTGAGACAGAGCGAGAGATGGCAAAAGTCAAAAAGGTGTGGTTAATGATTTTGACCCTCTGTTTTGATGCATTACTAATTTAGTTACTCTGTTAGTCTATCCAGTTCAATCAACCAGTAATAATGTTCAAGATTCACCTCCTCCTCGTTCTTCAGGGCATCAGATTGGGCCAATCTGAACAAACAGTCATAGACGGGGTGCACCAGGGCCATCATGGGCATGTTGTTCACCTGCAGCAAACAGAATAAAGTAAAAAAGTAAGCACTTCAAATCAATTTGCATATGCATATTTTTTACTAGTATAGTTACCATGAGTACCTTCCTAATTGTGATTCTGAAATGAATAGTTCACCCAGAAATGAAAAATTATTGACAATTCACTCACCCTCAAGCCTTCCAAGATGTACAGTAGATGAGACTGTTTCTTTAGCGGAACAGATTTGGAGAAATTTACATCACTTGATCATCAGTGGACTTGTTTTGGCTTGTAAATGTGCTTGATCTGTGCATATTTCTCTCCTGATTCAGACAAGAACACTAAGCAATTTTATGGATTATGTAAATAACATTTTCAAGTTAGAAACGTCTTAATTATGGATTTATTTCTTACAAACATGCAGCTTTTCGCTTCACTAGATGTTAGTATGATAATAAATAATACATTTCAAAATACTCCTGAATAGTAATATAAAAATATCCTCTATAACAAAATGTATCTTCTTACATTCAAGATGATATCTTACACAAATGTATCAAAGGCAGAATATCATTAATCTTTACAGTAACACCATCTCGGAAGTCAATGTGCATAAACAAACATCTCACAGAGAATGAAAAGGTAGAACATGTTTCACAGAAAATGTCAGTGGAAAAAAGCAACAGAAGAGCATATTATGTTCTACATTCAACTCTGGATCCACTTTGCAGCTTACTCTAGCCAGAAACATACACCTACCCTTGAAAGAGAGTGCCACAATACAGTTACAGTAAAATTGAACATTAACCAATACCCATTTTGGTACTGCAGAGAAAAAAATAATGCTGATTGCTCTAGTAAATATCGTTGAAAGTGCTCTAAGCGCTCTTAAAGAAAAGTCAGCAATAACATAAGACATACATATTACATGTAAAATATTTAAATGCATACAAATACAAACGTTTGAGAGCATATAAACAATTGTTGAGTCACTTCAAAGTAGAATTCAGTATAGTTTGGCGACCACAAACAACATACCACAATATCAATGGCACAACATTGCAGATATAAAAAAATAATTCAGCCATGATGATGTGCACCAGTCTCTGCTGCTAACAGTTATGCAGACAAAAACAATGGCGTGTTCGAAAGTCTTACCCTTTTTCATACCATGTCAGATCTTTTAGAAAGTGCAGTTCACTTTACTGTTAGTTGATCTCCTCTTCTTGATGCTCCTCACTGTTCCCAGCTACTTTTCTCAGAGTTTCCATTTCATGGGATTCTCCAGTCGTCTGGTTCATATCTATACTGGTATGCTTTGTACCAGGAGTCCCATTATAATCAGACGCCATCTGCAATAAGAAGACAAATGCATTTTAAACATCTATTTGACATCTTCCTATTGTTTTACTTTGCCCACTTTAAATGCAAGTATATTTAAAATTATTGTATTAATGAACCAAATTCATCATAAAACTATACCTGAGAAGAATCTGTGTTGACGGTTTTGCCTGAGATGTGAGAGAGGTAAAGATTTGAGGATCAGTGTAAATTAATCAGCCTCAGTTAATGCACAAATGAGGCAAATACAAAAGATAGCATTATGGATGATTCACGCATAGTGATAAAATCCATTTCATTACTCACGGGATGCAAAAATGGATAAAATCAGCAGTGATACAGTGAAAAGCCACTCAGATGGAAAGACTATGACTCTCAAATCTCCCACCAGGCGTACACCACAAACTGTGGAAGGAGATTTATTTTAAGCAAACAGTATGTTTTGATCTTACATGGCCTTAGGAATCTCATTAAAATGTTGTGTTCACTCACCTGCTTTCATTATCAGTTCTGTCATCAGTGCAGCCGAGTTCACTAAAACAAGACCAGCTGATCCATACAGGAACACAATTTTCCTCTGGCTGAGCTCTGTAGGGCAGAGTTAAACGTTTTGTTAGTTCATTAAGGAATTGTGAATGAGTGAAGGAATTAATGATTTTAGAGACAGCGATAGTTTTCTGATTGGCTGCAGTATAGTAATCCCCGGCAGAATCACAACACTTATCCAGACTTTAAAGGGGTCATATGATGCGATTTCAATTTGTCCTTTCTCTTTGGAGTGTTACAAGCTCTTGGTGCATAAAGAAGATCTGTAAAGTTGCAAAGACTAAAGTCTCAAATCCAAAGAGATATTCTTTATAAAAGTTAAGAGTCAACCACACCTACCTAAAACGGCTCGTTCTAACACGCCCCCACATGTCTACGTCACGATGTGGGAAGATTTGCATAACGCCGCCCAAATGTTCACGCAAAGAAAGAAGGCGTAACTTTTATTCTCGCTGTAGTTTTGTTGACGCTGCAGCCATGTCGTGAAGACGCTGTGTGCTTCGTTGTGAAAGCGAAACTACTTTGTTTGGTCTTCCAAAAGAGGACACGACTACAAATCAGTGGTTAAGTTGTATTTACAACACTGTTCCAGAACAGTTTAACCCAAATATCCAGATGTGTGCAGCACATTTTATGGAGGATTTTATTTCCTGATCCTGGTAGAGTAACGTTAGACTAAAATGCCGGCAGTTCTGACTCACAGACTGTAAGTACGTTTTCATTTAAAGAATTTGCCACTGATGATTCAAAATCAAGTTTTGGCCAGTGTAGAGTAGCACTTGTTGTTTGTCATTTCTCAGATCACAAATGCAGACAGGGTTTTATGTGTACGCAGCACGATGGAATGCAACGCAACGTGTAAAAAGACAGTATAAGTCATTATAATCAGTAATTATGTCCCCACTGGATGCAACAAATGCCTCGTTTATAATGGGTTTTAATGTTTTTGAATCATCGCTCCGGCCGGACACGCCATCACAGTATGGTGAGGGGCGTAACATTTCTGTCACACGCTTGAGGTATTCGGCCAATCACAACTCACTGGATAGCTGGCCAATCACAGCACACCTCGCTTTTCAGACAGATGAGCTTTGTAAAAATCTACGCGTTTCAAAAAGGCAGGGCATAGAGGAGAAACAATAATGTACAGTATGTGGAAAATAATGTTTTTTTTTTACTTTAAACCACATAAACGCATTTCATTACACCAAATACACAAAATAATGTTCTTTTTAGCAACATCATATGACCCCTTTAAGCTTTGTGGATGAGAATGAAACAGAAGGACTGAAAAAAAAACACATGAACGAGAAAGAAGCTGATCGGTACTTTACTCTCATAATAGACAGGAACTTCAGAAAATGCAAGCACCCACAAGGCTTGAACAAATCCTGCCACACAGACCAGTCCTTCATCATCTGTAAATAAAAAAAGTCTTTAGTCTTATTTATTGCCCATAATTATTTCTCTCTCGTTTTATTTTATATTCAACACACCCATGTTAAAAATGAACAGATGTACACTTACATTTGTATAATAATAAAAAAAAATGGTTGAAACTTTTTAATATCTTTAAATATTAGAAATATATTCATACCTTTTTCATTTCTCAAGAGCATAATGTAAAAATACACCATTACTCCACTCATCACAATCATCATGAACCATATTAAATAGTATAGACAACGTAGACCTGAAAAGACAAAAAAAAAAACAGTGAAAACATGCTCACGAATAAAAAGAGTTACTAACTGAGTGAAACTGTGACTTGTGAAACAGCTGATATAGATGGAAACTGATATTTATTAAGGACCACCACTTGAGAAACACAAGTCATTGTGTCACAAAGAGACAGAACTAGCTCTGACACATTTAGGGGTACATTCAACATTATTTGAAAAAAAGTACAATAAATGTGATATGCATATTTTTATTGCATACCCATCTACTGATAAATTTCTCCAGTCATAATAGAGAAAAATATAATTACTTACATACTTACAGCATTTATTTTTATGCCAAAAGAAATAAGGCAACCAGTGAAGTACTGGAAGAGCTGTAATGATGAACACTTAAAAAAAAAGAGAGGCAATTAGAGTAAGGAAATAAATTGTCACAATAACTACATGACGACTTCTTCTTTCACTTTTATTTGTGCTGTGTAAGAAGCAGACAGAACTGACTGTTCCTCAAGCATATTAATTAGTTAATTCTCATTCAGTATCTGCTCAAGTTTTAAAATGTTCTGGCTTACCTTTATCGGAGGCAAAATGAGAGAAAAGCAGAAGGGAAAGCTGTAATGAAGGCAGCCATGAAAAGCTACAAGTAGCTACAAAGAGTCTAACTTTCCTGTACATCCTTCTGCTTAACTCTCCAGAGCATGACAGCAACTTCTCTTCAGCCAATTCTATAAAAAAAATAATGTGTGTGAATGCAATATCAACACATAACAAATCTAAAACAAATATCTTTCACACTCATACACTCTTAAAAATAAAGGTGCTTCACGATGCCATAGAAGAACCTTTTTTTCTAAATGGTTCCATAAAGAACCTTTAACATCTGAAGAACCTTTCTGTTTCACAAAAGCTTCTTTGTGGCGAAAGAAGGTTCTTCAGATTATAAAAAGGTAAGAAAGAGATGGTTCTTTAAAAAACTTTTGACTGAATGGTTCTTTGTGGAACCAAAAATGGTTCTTCTATGGCATCGCTTGAAGAACCTTTTGAAACACCTTTATTTTTAAGAGTGTATCTAAGATGTATACAATAAATGTCCTAAAGAAGCATTGTTTGAATGTCAGTTTTGAACAAATGTTAAATAATCTTCTATGGTCATAAATCATCAAGAACAATGTGAATGAAGAGGTTGTGTAAATTATGGTAAAATGATTTCAAAATGGTGAAATATGCAAATCGCACTAGATTGTACTGAGATTGATTGTGAGTTAAAACAACTTTCCTCTATACAAATGCTGCATGAAAAAACAAAAGTCTGTGAATGTTGTGTCTTCAACAATGCATTAAAACAAGATATCCTCATCTTGTGGATAATGCTCCATAATGGGCGAATACTCACGTATAATGAAGAAGGGACACATCAGGACAAGCAAACAGAAGGTGACTGTTCTGACGACTGTGCTGATGTTTTCAAAATGTTTAGCTAAAAGTACTGACACAGATATAAATGATTAATTTACACTTAATGGCATAATTTACTATTGTGCACTGTATATAAAAACATATATTAAATATATATAAAAACATACACACACACATATACATATACACACACACACACACACATATACAGTGGGTACGGAAAGTATTCAGACCCCCTTAAATTTTTGGTCTGAATACTTTCCGTGCCCACTGTATATATATATATATATATATATATATATATATAAAACTGGATAAGATAAACATAAACTAAGGATAAATTAAGTTTAGATTTCCAGATTATTTACAGTGTGGATTTACCTGAATACACCACTGCCATAAATGCTGCATGATCAGCATGTGCAGTCATGACATACTTCAGGATTTTAGCTGCAAAAAAAGTTGTAAAATCATGTAAAGAACAAAAACAGTAATAAAACAAATAATAGTAATTCTTGTCTAATCCCTTTAGCTTTATGTATAGATACGACAAATCTCAGTAGACACAGATATTATGTAAAATCTGAATATAAGTTATAAGTTTTATACA